ATGGATGACATTTATTTGTGACAATATATGATCCAACAAAATATTCAGATTGTTTGAAATACCAAATAATTTCTATAACTAAGAGATTTTTTCACTCAAATTGGATACTGAGTCACATAATTCCGGCATCTCTTACACAGACGTATTTCTTCCATCGACATGTGGGCTGGGGCGGTGGGGTAGCCTAGTGGTTAAAGCGTTGGCTCGTCACGCCGAAGACCCGGGTTCGAATCGCCACATGGGTTCATTGTGTGAAGCACATTTCTGGTGTCCCCCGCCGTGATGTTGCTGAAATATATAGCTAAAAGCGGCGTAAAACCAAACTCAGTCAGTCAGTCAGACATGTGGGCTCATTGCAAAAGGATTCCGGGAAGGCTCTTTTATTTGACGAAGATTAAATCACAGGAAAGTGTCGCGGTTTATACAGTACATGTGTTGTTTCTAACGGAAGTGGCCACATTGGTTCAGCATTGACGTGAGAACGCTATTAAACATATGGTTTTATCAAGCGGCGATAGATCCGATACTGATGGACACAGCGCGATAGCGTTTCTTGAACAAGATGAAATCAGTGTGTTGAGAGAGCCCATGTCTCAAATGTTTGTTTGGGGGGGGAAATGAGCGTTAGTTTGACGCCGATCGACACGAGAGACCCATGAACCACGTTTCGTCTACGTCTAGATTTCATCGTAATGTAAACATATCATTTTGGTATCATTTCTCTAAGCGCGTATGCCTCGACATTCGGTATCCACTCACGTCATACGGGAAGCGATAGACTAACAACTAGTCTCTGAAATGAACATATTTTACAGAAAAAGAGCTCAAAGTGAAAAAAATAAAATAAATGAAAAGGAGCCCTGAGACTTTCTTCATTTTCTGAAGCTGTGAAAATCTAGACTTGCCACATTTTCTAGACTTGCGTGGGCTTTCTGGGATATATTTACTTCAGAGTCTGTATGACAGACTAGGAAAGGGATATAATGATGTGATGTAGATCTGTGCACCTTAGGCCAGCAGGTATTTTGAATTTAGACGGTAGCACAGGAAACGGACACACACACACACACACACACACACGAATTCCCCTCCTACGCGTTTCAACTTCACCCTTACTTTAAATAGTTTATATTCCTTAACAAAGATATACCCCATATCTATACGTCAATGAACTGTACACAATCCTTGGTAACTTCCATCTTCTTAATTTCAAGTTTAAATATCTAAGTTTGACATCAATTCAGAAATAAACTAGAAGCAACTGATCGTAAAATACCATAATATCCCGAATGTGTTTTCTTTCTCAAATGAAACAAACATAATGTCAACGTTTTAATGTCGGACCAATGCTGTTTGCATTTTATTAAAATAAGAGCGATCGACACACGAGATGAAAGGGTTTTATGGATACTTGTTAACGTAGAAGGTTATATTATATTATAGATAAAGTATCAAAATCTTGTTTAACAATGCAATTGCTGATGTAGCCAGGGCCATTTGGGACACAGAGGAAGTTAAATGAGAAACAAATAGCAGTTTTGAGAACATTAAACTGTCCGCAACAGGTATAGTGAGAGGCGTTATTTAATACCCCTTCGAATGTAATGTCAGCGATATGGGAAACATGAGTAATAACGAACCATTTCGGTTTCGTGCAAATATTTCCGTACAAAACACGACTCTCTCGAAGTAATCAACACATTAAGCGAGAAATTTATTGCGCCTATTTCGGTGCTTAAGTTAGATGTGAAAATGAAATTGAGTTTTATTGGGAACTATTTTTTCTTTTTTCTTTGTATTTTCTGAGAGGAAACGGTCTGTCTTTTAAAGAAACGTATAAGGTCAAATGCTAAGTATAGTCTTGAGTTCTTAAGACAAACCGGGGGATGTGTTAATACAAAAAGCAAGATTTTCAAATAACTGATATTCCGTAAAAGATATAGAATGGGTGTTTGGATTTTGATTGGTTATCGAGGGAGAGATAATCCGATTACCAAATAAACCAATGATATATCTTTGTAATTTGGAGGGTTATTGGGGGAGAGAGAATCAGGTTACCAAGGCCCAAGGCTAAGGCTACAATGGTGCAGAAGGTAAAATATAAAGGACAGGAATTTTAATGTTAATCTGAACACATATATTAAAAAATCCCGATGTTTATACATTTTATTTTATCACATAGTTCTATTCCATTATCACGGTATATTTATATATTTTCAGACGAATATTCCCGGCATACAAGACCAAAGTGTCAGGCCTTGACAAAAAATCCAAGTACATCCTTCTAATGGACATCGTCGCCGTGGACGACTGCCGTTACAAGTTCCACAACGGCAAATGGATGGTGGCCGGCAAAGCTGACCCCGAGATGCCCAAGAGGATGTACATCCACCCCGACTCCCCCAGCACCGGGGAACAATGGATGCAGAAAGTTGTCTCCTTCCACAAGCTGAAACTCACAAACAACATTTCCGATAAACACGGATTTGTGAGTACTTTCGTAAGTTGGAGTCAACAATTACACAACTGTCTACATGTATTTTGTTTCGTATTGGACATGCAGTTCATTCTTGAGTGGTATCCAGGGTTCGAAACTAACGTCGGTCCTTAGGTCCGAAGACGACTGAAAACCTCTCGGACCCACAGCTTTTGTTTTCTGCAGGTCCTTATGGCCGACAGCTTTTTCATCCCCAATAACTAAGAGTATTATTTCCACACTAAAATATAGGGACTACACATTCTGATCAAGACCCACAACTTTTTAAGGTTCTGGGTCCTTAGGGCCTGCAGCATTTCAGGGTTAAGGGCAAACACTGATGACATCCACAGTGTGGTCGCAACGTCTTCATCAACCTTTCAAACAAAACTGCCATATAGGCATTACTATAAAATACCATCGGGGGTTATGGGCAATTATAAGTGCCTTGCTGAAAAAAATGACACCATCAATATTTAGATATAGTAACTCCATCTTGCGGAAACTTTCCATCGAGACAAAAGATCCACAATAAAACGCAGACGAGTCAAACACTATCAAATATACTCACATTTTAGAATTAAGAAACGTTTGCAGCTTTTATATGAGTTTTGTTCAGTAAATATTCTGCCATTATGTAGTCACGTCCATTGATCTTGGGGAGAATCGTTTCTCTGAGCATTGAATTACAGGCTTTCTTCGTAACGTCTGTGTCTTTGTAAATTCCCTGCAATGTAGCAGGCATCGCTGTTCTCAATTCTGCATATACAAGACATTGTAACGAGGTTGCATGTTGGTGAACGATAACCCCAATATATTAAGGTAAACGACCACTAAAGCATATATCTCCCTCAAGTATACACAACCACACCAGCCTGTAAAGTTCAATTTGAGGACACATAGACTTTTTAAAAATAAATCATATTAGTCCTACTCAAACAATGCTATTATATTAAGATAACTAAATACTGATTTTCTTGTCTCGTGCTCTGATCCTTGAAATTTCGTTAAAAATAGCTCATGAGAATTCAAAAAGAAAAATGCAAATTTCCATCTATATTCTTTTTCTAGCAGCATTGAAACGGGACATCTGTCCCTTTTTGTAAGTCAGCAAGCAAAACGAATCCAATGGATCTACCCTCTGAACCATTGCTTAGGTTTTTTACTTAGTTTTAATATTCTTTCAAATGTGTTTTAATATGTTTTTTTTATCCAAAGGCAGGATTTAACCCATGGTAGAAACATAATCATTTCCTTTTCTAAAGCTTCCTTTTTGTTCCGATCCGATAAGGCGAGTGTCCCAGTCTGCTTAAACCTTTGATACATTCACTCCGTAGATTTTGCTGCGGTACTGTCATTGTTTTCATTCGGCTCCACTTCGGCTATTTTCGTATGTCATCGGAGCATGACCAACCGACTGTACAGATCGTGCATTTGAATTACTTTAGCGTCCCAAGCCTTTCACAGAAAATTTTAATTCGTTTGAAATCAATTGAAACTTGGCCGTACGATGAGTTCACTTGGTTTAAGTTTAACCATTAATGATAGTGTTACGGGTATTGACGTTTTTTGGGCGAAACGTTCATGGCGCCTAGTAATAACAGGTACTTGAACGTGTTTTTAATAATGATAATTAGTACGGTTATATAGCTACTTTCTAGACATTGCCGAATTCACTTTATGCTTTGCGGAGATTCAGAATCGTCATAGCTCTTAAACATGATTCGTTGTTGCCGCATGGCCAGTCACACGCATTTATGTGTCGCCATCTTGAATGGATATTAACGTATACCATATAAGGCGTTTTCTGTACTTGATGGTTGCACGTGTGCAATGTGTATCCGTGTGGTAATTATGATATGAAACATGCCACTACACATATAAGAATACAAATATAATTTGGCAGTCTGAATTGTTTAGTATACAATTATTGCGAACATACCGACTGAACAAGTTGTTGAATTGACGTCAATGGGGGTTTTGTTATGTGGGCGACAAAGAAGTTCCAGACGTTGGAATGTTGGTTGATAGGTAGCGTATGAATCGACTGTATGTTCCATGTCCTTTCTTACCTAACAAAGGGAACGCACGTGACTGTTCAACCAATCGTTGGCCTTTCATGGATCACGTCCTTCGATCAGTGAAGTCTTTGACTGACGAAAACAGAATATGTAGGAGAGAGAGAGAGAGAGAGAGAGAGAGAGAGAGAGAGAGAGAGAGAGAGAGAGAGAGAGAGAGAGAGAGAGCCTTGTGTTTGCCTGTTTGTTGGGGGTAGTGTGGTACTTGTTGTTGGTGGGGTGGGCTGGGATGGGGGACGGTGTTAGCACCAAGACCGAAACGTCGCACTCACTGCAATAACGACGTTGACTATCCACAAAACTTGGTTTTCCTTCATCTTTACAACTTCTAACATGTCTCTCAAAGAAGTTATATCCTTGAAATCTCAATGGCCAACGAATGAACATCCATGCCATATCTATTGTTACTGCTAAAGTCGCCTGTTCCATCAGTGCTACTGTCAGTTACCCCTGCTGCTGCTACTGCTGTTACTGTCGGTGCCGCATCAAAACATACAAACAAAATGAGGAACTGTCGTCTTTGAAATCTACATGGACGTAACCCTGGATACATACCCAAACCCAGCCACACGTCAATCACTGTGACTGCTATGAGCACGTTTATTTCACCATCACCCTACCCTGACGATCTATGGTATCTGTCACTGTAGGAGCATGTCGCCTGACTTTTAACTTAACGGGGACTTCGATATACTTGACGGCCATGTGTGTCCACTTTATGTGAAGACATCTTACCAGAATTGTGTTTGTATAAAGGTTTACCTCATCACATAGACAGCTTGTTCGAAATAGGCACAGCAATGTCACAAAATGAAAAATCGTGAGCTCCATCGAGCTCCGTTTTGTTTTTAGAATACGGTGAAATGTTATTTAGAAATAATTCGATTCTATAGAAAAACATCAATTCTATGAATTAAAAACCTTTCATTATCGTAACATTGTATCTGTGATAAGCAGTGTAACGCTAATTGCCCAAAATATATTCCAGCGGCTCCAATCAAGTAAGTCTGCTCTATATTGCCATATCGGAATAACAGGCAAATGAATAATAATTTCGTGTCTCAAAAGAAAAATGAGAATTGTTCCCCAATATAAATATCACTATTAAAGCCATGATTAAAATGTGTTTACAATTATGAATTAATTGCTCATTTATTCGGCTTGTTTGTAAAGGGTGTGTTTGGGGATGATATGTTGCAAGACAAACAAACAGCTGAGTTATCCGACATAATTAATGATTCTGAATAGCGCTAATTTTTCACTCGAGAGTAAATCGAATATGCTAATGAGGCACTTCGCATTCATTCGTAATATGGTGGAGCGATTTACGTTTACAATACCGACTACATGTTATAAATGACTAGCATTTGTGTTTGATTATGTCGACCTTTATTCCTGCTCAAACAAAGGTAATTATTATTACACAATAAAAATTTCACGATAACAAATGTTTTATGCAACAAATCGTTAAATTGTGAACACAAATCGCGTCCAATAAGAGCCGACGTCTCTTCGGCTCTACACCAGTCCGTCAACATTGTAACGATCGCTTGTAAAGATTAATGATATTCACATTTTAAATATTCATTAGATTCACTCCTTTGAACCTGGTATGATTTGGAAACGAAAAGGAAAAAAACATATTGCATAAAAGGAAATGAGGATTGGTTTGTACATGTCAATGGACATACTCAATACTGTGGTGTACTTAGTACTCAGTACTTATCTCACATATGTTCAGTACTAATCACGATATACATAGTAATGTTGTATGTAGCAGATGTAATATTTGTAACAAATCATTTTAAAACTTGAAAAGCTACAAAAATATAATATTTATGCATGTTTATAACATTTATCAGCCTTATGCATCCTGGCTTTTAATTTCAGGTTGAGTCAGTCTGAGTTGCTTTGTCTCATCTAGGATAAAATAAAGCCTTGTTTTTGTGTCTGAACATGCTGTACGTCAGATACAATAGCGTTGAAGGCGTTTGTATCAGATTGTGGTCAAACAAAATACTTCGAGTCGAGTCATATTTCACTTTTGAAATTACATTCGGGGTCATTCTTCGACCTCAGGGGACGATAGTCAAGAGGTTCATTTAAAAATCAATATGTACCGTATTCTACGTCTATTTTCTGCTTCCTTGAAACAATGCCTTGTGCTATCACACGGTCAGTCTACTTAAACCGATCCAAATTACACACAATGACATTGAAGAACATGCATCTCAGTAAAGTTTCCCTGATTTCGATGAAGGATGGCAACGTTGTGTGTCATGGCCCAATGTGTATCACTGTTCCTCGGCGCAACAACTGCAGCAAGTAGGAATTTTAATTCTGCAATTAAAATACGACACCATTTTCTTAACGTAAATTCGTTTGATGTGTCTATTATGAAATGCAAGATCTCTAAAAGGCATTGTCTAGTTAGATCTCGATGAAGTAATTTTCTTTCGGATGATAATGTTATGAGGCTTTGAGAAAGCAGAAATATAGCATTTCAGTTTTCCCTTGGATGGGAAAAGTGTTTTGGTTTACATAAAGGATGAAAACGGCTCGTTTTTAAATGTAAACTGAAAACCCCAACACAGCGTGAGTATGAGGATGTGGGTGTGGATGAAGATGAGGATTATGATGTGGATGTTGATGAAGATGAGGATTAGGATGTGGATGAAGATGAGGATTAGGATGAAGATGAGGATACGATTAGGACTAGGACTAGGATGTGGATGTGTCAATTTAATAACGTACACTTCAACATCATTCATCGAAACCATAACGCAACTGAATCTTAATTCATCAATTATAGCTCGGACACCAAGTAACGAAAAAGCTTTCAAACTTGTTTCTGAATTTTGTTTTTTCAGAAGCCAAGGGCGGAGAATTTGATATCGGTTTAATGAATTCTAAAGTTCCAATTCTATGCGGTGAACGGTGCACTGG